TGCTGTGTGGAATTCCCCATGCCCAGTAGTTCTGTTGTGACCAAGAGCTCTGGGGTAATGAAGTGACGTTCCCTTCATCTTGATGTGCTTTTGCTCCCAGCTCGGGCTCCTACAAGGACTCTGAAGGTCTGCGTCATCACGATGACTTTGATGTGTCCCTCCTGGTGTGTCACAGTGCAGCACCATTTGAGGAGCAGAGTGAGGCAGAGAGACGCATGCTCCGGTGAGCACTGGGGGCCCAGGACACCAAAGCTTCCTGGCTGGGGAGGAGGGCCCTGGGAGGGACTGGTTCTGTCTGGGACAACGCAGGGTTGTTGGTGTTGGGGGAGGATCACTGTGGGGACCTGGGCAACGTGGTGTCTGTCTGGGCAGAGAAGCAGCCTTTCTGGCAGGGACAGAGAGGCCTGTGGTTCCTTTGCAGTGCAGCTGAGAGGGGAGCAGCCCTTCCCCAGGTCACAAGTGTCTCCTTGCCCTCAGTTTGCGTTTCTACGTCATCATGACCAGCCAGCGGGAGCTCTTTCCCCGGCTCACGGCCGACATGCGACGCTTCAAGAAGCTGCCGCGCTTGCAGCGAGAAGTGCTGGAGCCTGTGGTGGGCCGGGCAGCCTGGGAGGCAGCGGAGCCAGAGACAAGCCTGGGACGGCAGCTGCCAGCAGAGCGGGAGCTGTGGCAGGACGTGGAGGACAGCAGCGAGTTCTACGCGGGGGGCACACAGGTCAAACTGGGGCCAGGGCTCTTCTACACCTCGCCGCTCTTCCCCTTGCTGGCCTCTGAGGTGGCCTCAGCCCAGAAGCAGCTCAGCAGCATGGTGCAGCTGGCCAAGTGTCACTGCCGCAGGGACAATCTCTGGAAGCGCCTCTTCCTTCTGGAGCCTCTGGCGTCCGACAAGCTGAAGCTGGGCAAGCTCTCGCTGGTGGAGCTGGAGGAGCTGCTCGATGCCGTGCATGGGAAATCCATTGCGGATGTCGACCCCCAGCTGGTGAGCAGCAGGGATGGAGTCACAGTGCACAGCAGCTGCTGTTCTGCTCGGGATGGAGTGGGGTGACAGGTGAAGGGCCTGCAGGACATGTCTCTTCCTGCTTGGTGGGAAGGTAGAGGCAGGAACGTAGCTCCTAGCTGGCCGGGGAGGGGGAGACTGCATGGACCTGTCCTTGGAGAGTGCATAGCTGTTGGTCAGCATGGCTCAGTGGGCTGTGAGGAATGCATCTGATTCGGGGTGTGAAGGCTGCTGTAGCATTATGGCTGCTGCTGCTATGGCTAGAGTAAAGCTGAAATCAGGCCTTTTCCATGCCTGCAGGAATGCTTCCTCACCATGACAGTCTCCTGGTACCAGAGCCTCATCAAAGTGCTGTTGAGCCGCTTTCCCCAGAGCTGTCGGCACTTCCACAATGCTGAAACTGGCACCCAGTATCTGGTAGGAGACAGCCCGTCACCCACCTGCAGCCTCTCTCCCTGTGTCCCTGCCCTGGGGTCTCTGTCTCCTTTCTAACGTGTGCTGTGACTCTCCTGACAGGTCGTGCTCAACCAGAAGTTCACGGACTGCTTCGTCCTTGTGTTTCTCGATTCTCATTCAGGAAAGACGGTAAGTACTTGGGAACAGAAGACCAGCTATGTTGGCTCAGGCCAAGAATCTGTCTAGATTGATCCAGCAGTGGCCAAGGGCAGGTGTGCACGAGAACCTTGTAACACCTCCCTTAAATACTTTCCCACCATCTGAAAATCTGTAGCTCAGGCCCATCCTGAGCTAGAAGTGTCCTTTTCAATTATTTAATAGCCCTCCACAGCTTTCCTTTGGTTAATTTCTTGCATCCATGATTTCCCCTGGCTTGCAGCTCCACGAGGCAGTTGTAATCTAGGTGAACTCTTTGGCTTGTTTTTGAAGCTCCTACTGTTCTTTCCATGTCATGCCCTTTTGTTCTTGTATTAGAACACAGGGAGCACTTGATCCTCTTTCCCTTCACAGGGTTGCTTTTGGATCATTCTCTCAGCTGTCTCTATTCAGGCTAAAGAGTCCTTCTGTTTTCAGTCCAAGCCAGATCACACTGGGTCTGGCTGGGAGAGTTCACCAGTGCTGTGGGCTGTTCCTACCTGGGCAGAAGGGAAGGGAACCTGCTCTGTGAGGGTCCCAATAAACCTGCAAGGACCTTTGCCTTCACTGGACTTGAGGGCAAAAATACTTTTCTTTCAGCTGTGCTCCCAGGCAGAGTGCAGGATGGGTCACAGGGAAGGCAGCTCCATGTGAGAGCAGGGCATCTACAAGAGGCTTCTGTCCACAGTGAGGCTTTTGCAGAGAATGCACCATAACTGATCCCTTTGTAAATAAATCATGCTGCATCTCAAAAGCAGGTAGGGGAGACAGAAGAGGTGGTGCCTGCTGGAAGGCTGCTCAGTGCCTCCTGCCACCTAATGGTCATAGTGTCACCTTGTGATCATCAATATCATACACCCAGACCCTCCATCCCCTCTCCTAGTGACTCCCATCTTGTAACAGAAATCCTTTGTGTTCCTCACACTGTATTTTGTGCTTAGCATTGATCCCATTCCTGTGGCCTCTCAAAACTCTCTCAGGCTTTTTTTTTTTTTTTTTTTTTGCATTATCCCAATCCTCTTTTCTATTAGTGCCTCAAATTTTATCAGCACATTCCTCATCTTTGTACCAGACTCATTAAAGTACAAGGCAACGTGAGTCCCAAAGCCTGTCCTGGAGGAACTCCCTTTGTAACCTCTCTCCAGCCTGCTATTTCCCCTTTCAGCACTGCCATCCTCACCTTATAATTTCAGCTAATTCCTATCTTTTCAGCTTACCTAAATTTCCCATGTGGCACCACATCAAATCCTTCCTGAAGCTTAGATAAGATGTACCATGATTCCTTTGTCTAGAAATATTACCTTATCAAAGAGAAATTTAGCGTTAGCACATCACTTTGGTAACACTGAGCTGCATTTCCCTCACGGTTCTTTCTCTCCCAGCCTGCTCTGAAGCCTTGCACACTGTTGGAGTTGGGTTCACAAATAGCTTTCTTTTCCCTCTTAAATGATGGTGGTGTGTTTTCTGTTCTGTAGTTACCCAGCTCTTCTCATGGCTTTACCAGTTCATTAGGGACCCTGGCTACTAACTGTGCTGCATTTCAGCTCTGGAGAACGTCCAGTCCCTGTGTCGTGCCTCCATGATGCTGATCTGAGTGCACTGAGTCACTCACAGGCTTCTTCTGCTTCAGGTCCTGCAACCTCTTCTTCTGAACCTTGTTCCCTGCTTCCCTCTGCCATTGCCCTGCCTTGTCAGTGCAGTCACTAATCAGAATGGAGCAGGCAGCACTTATTTTTAGGATTGCAGTTATTACGTTTAATCTCCTCCCCTTCTCCATTAGTTGCACTCCTACTCTTTGCCTTAGAAGAAGAAATTTCCCTCCAATTTCCCTGAAAGCCCCTTATTATGTGGAGTCAGTGGGTTTCCCTCTCCTGAGGCTGCTGCTGGGGTTGGTATAACTGCAGATGCATGAGAGCAGGGACTGAGTGGGCAAGTGCTCGCACCTAATTTCCACCAGAAGAATTGGGAGGAGGCTCAAACATGCTCTGTCACAGGAGAAGGCATTAGCTTAGTGCCATTGGCATTTTGGGACTTCTCCTAGTATTTGCCTAAAACTGCCAAAAAAAAGTGCTCACACACATGGACTAGGGACTGCACAGTGCTTGTTTGAATCCTGTCCCCTGACCCTCTCCTCCCTCTCGGCAGAGCCTCACCGTGGTTTTCCGGGAGCCGTTCCCAGTGCAGCCCCAGAACAGCGAGAGTCCTCTGCCACAGCTTGTGTCAACATATCACCACCTCGAGTCAGTTATCAACACTGCCTGCTTCAACCTCTGGACGGGCCTGCTCTAGCACTGGCACCCATTTCCTTGGTGCAACACACGTGCCAGACCTCAGCACGGCTGTGCCACGGGTGGCGATGGGGAAGAGCAGGTCTGTGAGGGGACCTGTGCTTGGGCACTGCAGGCAGTGCTGCCAGTGGCACACATGGCTACTGAACTGAGGAGCCTGGTGGGCTGGCGTGGCCCTCACGTGCTGTTTTCGGTGGGTTTGATACTGAACGACCTTGAACCGAACCACAAGGGCAGGAGCTTGGCCGCTGTGGCCTGGCTGAAGCAGAGCGACTCTCAGGGACATGGCTTTGGCGTCTGCAGGTGAGTTCTGCCTGCTGGGGAGGCATGGAGGAGCACACACAGCACTCTGGGCTTTGTGAGGAAAGACTCCTGGACTTCAGGGCTCCAGGCAGTGAGGCTGACTGCTTCTGGCCCTTTGTCTTCCTCGGGAGAGCACTGGATGGGACAGGAAAGGTGAACTGGACCATACAAAGGTTTTATGGAGGTGTACATTTAAGCCATTGGTGTATCTGTGAAATAAACTGAATCAGATCCCTGCTCAGTTGCTCTAGGCTAGGATGTGGAACGCCTCCTGTAGGGGATGCAGAGCAACCCTGGCTGGGTTTGCACCGGAGTTTCCTACTTGTTCCAGAGCAGGAGCAGCAGGATACTCAGCCTCCAGCCTGTTCCCTCGGTTCATGCAGCCTGCGAGGGTGTTTCTTGCTTCACTTCCTCCCCTACTGCAGTCAGTGCTGGGCACTGGCAACAGCCTTGATAACTGCAGTGCCTGAAAGCTCAGAGCATTTATTCCCACAACTCTAGGTGCCAGCTGGAGCTGGACTGAGAAAGCTCACACCCTTCCCCAGGATTGAATGCTCCCCTTAGTGGGGGAGACTGGAAGCCTCTCCCTGGACACCCCTGCAGCCTGGCAGTGAAGGTTCTCTATGTACCTGAAGTCACTTACAGCGGTGCCTGAGCCATCCCTAAATACAACATGCTACAGACAGCACTTGTGTAGATGGAGGTCCAACTGCTTGGGCTGACCCAGTAGGGCCTGGGGAAGGGAAATATGACATAGATGCTCCTAAAGCCACTCTAGGAATCATCCCACCTCAGTCCTAGACAAGACACGTGCTCCTCTGTTAAGCCATTGCTTTGTCTTTTATTCCCATGGTTTTCTAGTTTTACTCGGCTGTCTTGCTGGTCCCACCATGCTGCAGCCCTCGGCTCTCCCAGTAGGAGCGCAGCCAGCCCAGACCTTCCAGGGTGTCTCCTGCAGTGACAGACAAGGTTTCCTGCTGCAGCTGGAGAAGCTGAAGTAGCCTCTGTTCAGGACAGAGCTCTCATTCCCAGGTAGGGACTCTGACACCCACTATCTGCCACCCCCCAGGATCTGCCTGTTTTTGCACAGTACCCAGCCAGCTGGTCCGTGCTTGGCTCAGACCTGCAGGCCCACTCACCTTTGGGAGCATACTCGCACCCCACATAGCCAGTGTAGCCAAGGGACTCCAGGAGCTCGAAAATGTAGGGGAAGTTCAGCTCCCCAGGGCTGTCGGGCTCGTGCCGCCCTGGCACCTGTGCGATCTGGATATGACCTGGAGAGGAAATGGGAGAGGCCGTGCCCAAGGCAGCCCTACCTCGAGCCTTCTTTGGGCATAAGACAAGCTGACCCAAGAGCAGCCCCATGCCCCCAGCCAGCCACAGCAGAGCCTGGGGCAGGAGGGCTCCATCTCAAAGCCACTCCTGCTCCATGGCCACAGAGGAGCCGGTCTGGGTGCAGGGCGTTACCAATGAGTGGGAAGTACGTGTCCAGGTTGCGTGACAAATTGCCATCCATGATCTGGCAGTGAAAGAGGTCCTGGGAGGGAGAGAGGAAGAGAGAGGATGCAGCTGTTCACCTGTGAGCTGTGCTACAGGCCCTGTCTCTCTCTCTCTCCATGTCCTCAGGAGAGGATAACAAGCCCACAGCCCCTAGAACTCCCCTGTGGGCCTGTGCAAAATTCCCTGGTGGAGGGTGGACCGTGGAGATCTTCAGTGCTGCTGACTCACCAGCTGTAGCTTCAGGTTGGGCCGTCCCACCTTTTCCAGGATGGCAGCAGCTAAGGGTGCAAGAAATGAGAGACCATTGCCCCCAGGGTGGAAGCTTCACCAAGCCCTGAGACTCCCCTTCATCAACTGAGCTCCCTCAGCATCTCTGGGCTGGTAAGGCAACCTCCAGCCTTTCAGACTTTGGGGATCCTTCTCTTCCTCTGAAGGAGTCTCTAGATGTCTGCCTTACCTTGGTGCGGGGTGTTCAGATAGTAGCGAGGGTCAGTGATGCGGTTGTTAATAGGCTCCACCAGTCCAATCATGTTTTCCTGTAACACAGTAATGTCACCCTGTGGAGCACAACTTCCCTATGCCAGGCTGCTGGGGTGTTCCTGGGTACCCTAAGAGCTGCACCCCCAGAGCAGGACACGTTCCTCACTTACCTGGGCCAGGAGGTCAGCAGCATATCTGAGATTCTCAATGAAGGTGGTTTCCATCTCACCTGCCATTGCAGCCCGGTCTGCACCCAGGGGAACCCGCCCAGCCATCACATGGATCCTAGAGACACAGAGAGATCAGCCACTGGCAGCAATATACGCTATTCTGCCTCAATACACAGAGGGCTGACTTTGAACCTTTTGCCTGACAAATCTCAGACCTTGATTCTTCCCTCTTTCACCAGCTGCTTCCAGCTCTTTCACCCTGAGGTTGGTTGGTTTTGCTCCTAGTGCTGCCTCAAGGCCAGCACAGGGGCAGCTGGCATGTTGCCTCTGCCAGGGGCAGGCTGGACATGTGGTCTCACTGCTCGCTGGCTGTGAGCAGGGAGGGGACAGGGGCCCATGCTGGACTGCCCTGCTGTGAAGAGCTCAAAGGCCAGGCAAGAGCAAGGCTCTTCAGCCACTGCTGGGGAAAGGTGAACAGTGGAAAAAAAAACCTTTTCACTCCGCCTGTACAAACAGGGGGCTGGGCAGCCTCTGGCCAACCCGGTCCTTGCCATCCACGGGGCTTTGGACTGAGTTTCAACAGGAAAGAATGATGCAAAGTAAATGCAATAAAAGGGCCCCGTTGGTTTTCTGAAGGGAAGTGTGCCAGGCTAATTGCATCTCTTACGGTGTCTCTGCTGCCTCCAGGCAGCGTGGCCTCAATAAAGCAACTGTTGTAGTGTCCCAGGGGCAACGACTGGTGTAAGTGGGGAGGAAAAAGGGAGGATTATCCTGGGGACTGTTGTGCGGAGGTGGGGAAGGGAAGGGTCAGACGAGTGCCTGGCAGCTCCCAGAGAGGACACTGAGGCCGGGCCCCGCACATGGGGGTCTGCACATGGGGGTCTGCACCGCGCCGGCTCCCGCCCGATGTAGCCGAGCAGGAGACGCTGCCTGGGAGAGGCTCCGTGAGCCGGCGGCTGGAGGCGCCGCGGGGCAAAGGGCGAGCCCCGCTCGGGCGACGAGCTGGAGCAGGAGGGCGGCACAGGAATCCCGCGGCGGCCGGCGCGGGGTCCCGGCCGGCACCTACCTGTGGCAGCCCACCGCCCTGGCGTACTGCACGGCCGCCGCCAGGCCCTCCCGGAACGCGGCCTCCCGCCCGGGCACGGCCGCCAGCCCCAGCTCGCCCGCCTCCGGGTCCCCTGGGAGAGAACGGCGGGGTCAGCGGAGGGTCTTCTCCGCCCCGCGCACCCGGGGGGACGCGGCCGTACCGGGGGGCGTGTTGAGGAGGGCGATCCGCACCCCCGCCCGCTCCGCCGCGGCCCGCAGCGCCTGGGCCGGGCAGCCCGCCGGCCACGCCGCCTCCGCCGCCCCGAACCCGGCGGCCGCCGCCGCTTCCAGCCGCGCCGGCAGCGCCGGGAGCTCCGGGAACAGCCACGAGAGGTTGGCGGAGAAGCGC